AGGCCATTCTTTTCCAACTACTGATTCTTCCTCTTTGTTTCCAACCTTTGCATTGTAATCACCAGTAATGATCAATACATCTTGATTGCATGTTTGATCAATTTAAGATTGAAGAGGTTAATAGAATTATTCAGTTTCATCATTACTGACTTTAGTGGTTGGTGCATAAATTTGAATAATAGTGCTATTAATTGGTCTTCGTTGTAGGCATATGGATATGGTTAATATGTCATCACAGAGAGCATTGTACTTCAAGACCGATCTTGTTATGTTCTTTTTGAAGATGAATGTGATGCCATTCCTCTTCAATTTGTCATTCCCAGCACAGTAAACCATGTGATTTTCAGATTCAAAATGGCCTATACCAGTCCATTTCAGCTCACTAATGCCTAGGATATCAATATTTATGCATTCTTTTTCATTATTGACAACTTCCAATTTTCCTGGATTCATATTTTGAACATTCCATGTTCTTATTATTAATGGATGTTTACAGCTATCTCTCTTTGTTTTGTGCCCCATCAGCAAATGAAGGTCCCGAAGGCTTTATTCCATTTGCGTCATCACAGTCAACTCTACTTTGAGGAGGCAGCTCTTCCCCAATTGTATTTTAAGTGCCTCCTAACCTAAGGAACTCATCTTCCAGTACCATATCTGACAGTATTCTGGTGTTCTTAATCATGTTTTAATATTAAACATTCTGGTGCTGACAGTGTTCCACTGCTATTCAGAGGTAGTTCGTCTTTCCTTCTTCCTAGTCTGTCTTCATCTGGAAGCTCATCTGAAACCTGTCTACCATGGTTGAACTTGCTGGTCTTTAAAATACCAGTGGCATAGCTTCCAGAATCACAGCAACATGCAAGCCACCGCAGTAGGACAGACTGACAGATGAGTGGTGGGTGTTGTGGGATAGGGGGGAAGAATCATCTGCTACAGTTCTTCATTTAAAATTTTTGTAAGACAAGTTTGTAAAGATGATTAAAAGATCCTTGCTGTGTCTATGCCCACTACTACCTTTAAAAATATTCTTTCATTGTGAATTGGGTGGAAGTTTACAGAGTAAATCAGTTTCCATTCAATTTACACACTTTTGTTTCATGTCATTGATTGTAATCCCTACAATGTAACAATGGAACCCCATTTATCCTACTTTTCCACTAGATCTCCTGCTTCTACTCCTCCTTTCTGAACTTTGTCCTTGGCTAAATGCTGCCTTTTTATTATTATTATTTTTTAATCTCAAATGGTTGATTTTTTCTAAAATGTGCATACCTCCTTAATGTTATTGTTCTCTTTATAGCCTAGTGTAGTGTTTAAGTTAATTTCTAGGTGACTAAGGGCCATAGTCTCAAGGGTTCCACCAGTTTCTCTCTAGCAAGCCTGGTATTTATTTATGAGTGTGAACTTTGTTTCACATTTTTCTCCCCATCTATCCAGGATCTGCTAATGTGATCCTTTTCAGAGTAGTTGGTAGTGGTAGCTGAGCCCCATCTAGTTCTACTGGTCTCAGGGTCATGGAAGCTGAGGTTTACATTGTCTGGAATAATTGTTTCTATGAGTCTTTGACTGTTTTCGCTCTTCTTTTGACTGGATAGGGAGAGACCAATAGTTGTACCTTAGATGGTCACTTAACTATGCCTTTAAAAAAAAAATTATGGCCTCAATGGCCAAATTTCTTTTTATTATTATTATTAAAGGTTTTGTTATGAATTGAGTAATAGTTTACATGGCAGAATATCCATTTTGCATTCAACCAATCGTGTTTTGTTTCATTGCAATGATTATAATCCCATCCATGCACCATCGGTTCATAGTATTTGCCTCTATTCCCTCTTTTTTTAAAGTATACAAACACACGCAAGAATATATATAATCATTTAAACAACCAAAGGGCACATTTTGCAAGCCAGCCTCCTGCCCTCCAGCCCATGCCCTTTTGTAACAGGACGTTGCAGCTCCTCCTACTTTGACTCTGGGCTGGCCTGGTGATTTGCTTTTACTTTTAGAAAAATGGTGTGCACTTTGTGCAGCCTAGGACTTAAGAGACCTTGCCAGCTTGGTTCTCATTCTTCTGGAACCCAGCCATCACTGAAAGATCAAAGACCAGTCAGCACAGTTAGGGGCCTAGTATCCATGTGGAAAGCAGGGCCCAGCAGTTCCAGACACTATAGCTGTCCCAGCCCAGGAAGCTGTCCCATCAGCTGAATGCAGTTGAAAGGAGGTCCAGACAAGAAGAACCATCCAATTATGTCCCTTGGCCACCCTTCAGGTCTGGAATGGAACTCACTTCATGCTCTAATTTTCAGCCAAGTGGTAGAGAGGCATGGTAGGTGGGGGTGGGGGGGCACAATGACACTAATAAGGTATGCTCACCATGGACTAGTCAACCATTCAAGATCAAAAGAGCAACACTGATCTAAGGACAGAATTCAGAAGGGTTAGGAGGGAAGGTGGAATGGAAATAATAGCCACAAGGAAGAAGTGGGAGGAAGTGGGATAACTGTTGTTACATGGAGGGGGTTGCAACCAGTTGACATAAAACAAAGTATATGATTTGTTCAATGTAAAACTGATGATCTACCCTGTAAACCTTCACTCAATGCATAATCCAAAGTTTCAAAAACAAAGCAAAACGAAGGAAGAACCATCCATCAGACTTGAAGAACTATGAAAAAGAACTAATTGTTGCTGGTTCAACACTCAGTGTTGAGTGATTTGTTACATAGCAATAGATTACTAACATGGGGAATTATGTATCTTTTTGGCAAACCTTGCCCTTCCTCCAAGTCTTCACCTCCTCTGAAAGCCACCACTCACTCCTCTGACCCCCTCTTCATTCCTGCTTCTTTTGTGACCCTTATACTTCACTGCTTAATAGGATTCTAATAGGCACCTTCAGGAGATGCCTTTATCAACTGATGATTAATTCACGCATACCTTATATGGTTCTATGTTGTTGTTGTTGTCAAGTGCCGTCGAGTCGGTTCCGGCCCATAGCGACCCTGTACAGGGTTTCCGAGGGTGTAAATCTTTACGGGAGTAGAAAGCCTCATCTTTCTCCCGCGAAGCGGCTGGTAGTTTCGAACCGCTGACCTTAAGGTTCGCAGCCCGATTCGTAACCACTACGCTACCAGAGCTCCTTTATAAAGGATGTAAAATGGCTTATCTTAGGAAATGCCCACAACCCCAGAGGTAGATATTGTTATCCTTAGTTCCCAGATGAAAAAATTGATGTTTGGAGGTGAAGTGACTTGCCCAGGGTCACTGACAAGAGGTGGAGCCAAAATTCAAACCCAAATTTACATTTCTTCAAATACTCCCCAAGTTGTAATGTTGTGTGACCATCTCCTGGAGGGCAAAGGGTCTGCTTCATCACTGTAACATGAGGGAGAGTCACTCTTCTGCTGAGAGAAGGATCTGGAAGGCAGAGAGGGGGACAAGGGCTACATGGATTTATGTTCCAAACCTAGGAACCCGCAAGTCTTCTAATCAGGACCCTGGGCCCACCTCACCCACTCTGCACTTAACATGTGGTCTTCATTCTTCATGCAGGCCTGCTCTGCCTTCTAATATATCTTTTCCTCTTTTGTTTTCCAACAGAAGAGGGCCAGAGTGGTCTACTTGAGGTTGATGGATCAGGAAGGGGTCAATGGGGTCTCCCATGGCCCAATCAGGTTTAACTTCTGGGAAGATTCAGATAGGGTCCCAAGGCTAGGCTGGGAGTTAAAGGTGAGACTTTGGCCAGCCCCCTTGGATGAGGGGTGCTGTTGTTGTGTGCCCTCAAATCTATTCTGACTCATACCAACTCTATAAGACAGAGTCAAATGGTCCCCACGGGACTTCCTAGACTGTAATCTTTACAGGACTGTAATCTGTAACCAGGTCTTTTCTCCCATGGAGTTGCTGGTGGATTCAAACCACTGACCTATCTGTTAGCAGCTGCATACTTAACATTGTGCCACCAAGTCTCCTTGGTTCGGGGGCAGCGAGTAAGAAACGAGGACTAAAATATAATATTTTCATTGATTAAACTGAAATTTATTGAGCCCCCATTTTATATCAAGGTCAAGAGTTGAAGGTACAAAAGACAAATAAGAGGGCCCTGCATAGAGCTCTCCATCTATGCAAGGTCAGAGCTGAGCCTCAAAAGTTATCTTAGCTGGTTGAGGAAACAAAGGCTCACATGGAGGGCTCAGGTCTCAAACCCGTTTCAGATCTCTCTGGCTGTCAAAAGTGTCAGAAACTCTGCACTTCACATGTGGTCTTCATTCTTTGTGCAGGCCTGCTCTGCCTTCTAATATATCTTTTCCCCTTTTGTTTCCTAACAGAAGAGGACCGGAGCGGTCTACTTTGCGGAGGGAGTTGCTGAGGCAGGTTGCTGGAGGAGAGGGTTGTGGAAGTGGAGCGAGAGCTGATGCTGTCACTCAGGTGGGGGTGTTGCTGTTGTTCTCAAGTCCTTTTGGACTCATGGCCACTACTCATGTGCAGCGTAGAACTGTGCTATACAGGTTTTCAAGGCTGTGACCATTCTGAAGCAGATCACCAGACCTGCCTTCCAAGGAGCTGCTGAGTGGATTTGAGTTATCAGTCTTTCAGCTAGAAGTCAAGTGCTGACCCATTTATGCCACCCAGAGACTTCTCACTCAAAGTTAGAGGAAGTCAGTGCTCTCTACTGAGTGACATGAAAACCGAAGGCCTCAGAAATCATTCTCCTCCAGTCCCCTCTCCCATTTCACAGATAAGTCAGTGGAGGTCAAGGAAACAGAGAGACTCGCAGAGGTTACATAGCATGAGTATAACTCATGGATGCCAGCGTTATCCTCTCCCACATTGCTGGCTCTGAAATAGGACCTGGGATGGGTTAGACTTGCAGGGAGGAGTCTGAGAGGGCTCTGGAGATGTGTGCAAGCAACACTTGCAGGAAGCCTTCTCAGATCACAGCACCTCCAGCTGGGACCACTAATGCCTTCCTTCCATGGCTGTGGCCCGCCCTTTGGTGCTTAGCAGAACTCCAAATGCTGGTCCTCAGGGATGTTGAACTTGAGCTTGTGGGCTTCAAAGAGACTGCACAACTCCCTGATGTAGCGCTGGTGCAGATGGTCTACCTCCTCCTGTGATGGTTGGGGCGTCTTCTGCACTTCCAAGGGCTTCCCCACTGTAAGGCACAAATACGGGTAGTGACCCAGAGCAGAACCACTGGGGGCCGCAGGGCCCAACCCCATGGTCATCCCTATAGGAGTGCTCTTACTTCCACTTCTTTCCACCCAAATTTCAAGTAATCTATTCTTTTCTAGTTTCAAGTTTCATTTACTTTTGTACATTTTTAAAGGAAATTTTAACTTTGTTGAAATGTTCAAATGGTAACTGTACATTTTTTTTTTAATTAAAAAGAAAAAAGAAGGTCAAAGTCTGGTTATGCTTCAGTTTGTATGTAACAAGAGCATTTGCCATTTCAACCATTTTTGTATGTATTGAGTGATCGGTTCTGATAGAGCAACCACAACCAGGGTTGCGATGTGCCGAATACTTTGCATGCATGATTTCCTTGCATTCTCACAGCAGTCTTGTGGGGATAGAAGCTATAATGTTCCAATTTGATAGATGAAGTAATGAGGCTCAGAGAGGTTAAGTAACTTGCTTAAGGCACACAGTCAGAAAGAGCTAGTGCCAGGTTTCAAAGCCTGCATGTGTATTTTTTTCCTATAAGGCCACATGGTTCTGGAAGTCTATAATGTTTCGATCGCAATTGTCTGTATTTCTGCAATGAGGCACGAACCTAGTGCTATTTTTTTCAGCTTTCTGGATACCTGTTTTATTTTCTTCTTACTATCCTACTCTGTTCCTCTGCTGAACCTGTAGAGGAGCAGGGGCCAGAGGGCATCATGTCTGGCCCACAGCCCAAAGAGTTCCTCTTCCTCTCCTCCTCTCGCCACACTGACCAGCAGTGCCTTCTCAGCTTTGGGAGGGGTCAAGAAGACCCTAATTAACCTCCTTTATCTAGCTTTGCCTGGCTGGGAAGAGGTAATTCCCTGACCTCTTTTCTTGAGAACAACTTTGGAGACAGATGCAAGATCATAATTCATGACACTATTGCCACACAACAGATGGCGTGGTACGGCATAGGGGCTCACCATGTCTGTGCTCAACTAACAAATCAGTGTTGTTGTTGTGACATGCCACTGAGTGGGTTCCTACTCATAATGACCCTGTATAGGGTTTGCAAGGAGCTGCTGGTGAGTTTGAGCCACCAACCTTGTGATTCAAACTGGCCTTGCCATCCAGTGCAAAATGAATGACGCCCTCTGGCCCCTGCTCCCTTATAGAATTGTCAGAGGAACAGAGTAGGATAGTAAGAATCCAAGAAGAAAATAAGAGAGGTATCCAAGACAGCTGAAAAAAACAACAAAAAATTACACTAAGTTCATGCCCAGTGTTGTGGGTGTGTTTACTAAGTACTGTTGAGCCGTTCTGACAGTATAGGGTTTCTGAAGAGTGGCTGGTGGGTTTGAACCACCGACCTTGGGTTAACAGTCCAATGCTGATCCTATGTCACACCAGAAGTCCTATGCCCATTACTCACAGGAAAATCACTCAAGAAGTAATTTAGAACCTACTGATGACCAGTTTACGCATAAATTTTAACAGACTTAGAATGCCCTTCCAGTATGCCTTATTCCACCCTCTGGGTCAGAATTATACCCTCCTTCTGTGGCGTGATGAAAATCAGGTTGAATCTGATTGAAATCTCAGCTTAGTCACACAAAGGCAGTGCGATCTTTTGGAAGTCACCTAACCTTCTTTGAGCCTCAGTTCACCATTAATGAAATAGGGATGATAATCTCAGTCTCATAAATTGTTAGGAAAAGCTGAGTTGCATATAAAGCAGTCAGGGCAGTGCCTGGAGGTAGCAAGTGCTGTGTACTTGGCCGTTACTACTGACTGCTCTTTGTGTTGTTGCAGATCTTACCTCAGTCTGCCTTATGTTAGGGTTATCTGTGTGTGTTTCTGTTTCCTAGTGTAGAATGTCAGCTCCATGAAGGCAGCAGAGATATGCCTGGCCTGTCTATCTCACCTTGTAACACCCAGCCCAGGCCCCTTTCTTGACAGCCTATCCTCCCAGTCTGAATCTTGGCTTACCCACGGTGGTGATAGGCCGGCGGTAGGGTAGGAGGCCAAAGCTGTATTGGAAGATACCACGACCATGGAAGAGTGGAAGAGAGATGCCCATGACCTGCTGCAGGTGGTTCTGGACCCAGCGTAACCAGGATCCAGGAGGGTTATTAACCTGGTTAAATAGTTCATTCTCCCCAAAGGAGAACATGGGCACCAGAGCTGCCCTGGAAGGAAACAAGAGGTGAGGGTAAGAGGCCTCAGAGAACACACAAGCTGAAAGGCGTCCTAGCTTTGTGCAGGGAACCAACGTCCAGGAACTGAGGCATAGGACAAAGCCTGACTGAAAAGAGGAGGCCTGGATTCTCTTCCAGATCTGCAATGGCCTTGTTAGCTCACCTTGGGCAGCTCATACAACCACAACGTCCCTGTTCTACCATGCCTGATAGACCAGAATGCCTCAGAGAATCCTTCCACATATAAAACATCAGCAAAGTTTCTAGAAAAATCACCCTCACTGGTTCCTATTCCTCTAATATGTGCTCTGGGATGTACCCCAAGCCCCATTTTCCCATAAGTCTCTGGTCTAGTGTCAGCTTTGGGGAGCACGTCCCTTTCCATCCAGTCCCTTTGATAACTAAGTCTCCCCTTGTGGAAACTTTTTCAGGTATTTGGGTATGAGATAGTATACCTCTCATCGAAATACAATCTTTGTAAACAGACAGAGACTCTAATCTGCATTAGTCTCTGACTATCTTCCCACCAAAATATCATTCTTGCTTGCCAACTTCCAATGGAACTCAGAGCACTGGTCCCAAAGCCTTTATACCCTTGCATCAGAGCGAGCTTGATGAAGCCCTTGCGGTTCTTCAGCAACAGCCTGTAGGCTCCAGGTCGGGCATCTAATGCCTCCTTAGCACCCCCTACAATGATGGCCAGAAAGTTCCCGCCTTCCTTCCTGCTCAGCAAGTGAATGGCACTCTCCTTGTCAGATGCAACCAGTCCTGGGCGAGAGAAAGCATAAGTGAGAGGGCAGGGACCATGAGGTTGAATAGACACAGATGACTTCTTCTCACTTTCCCCCAGGCTGAAAGTTCTCCCAACACTGGAACTGTGGTCTTATTCTTCCCAATGCTCTCTAACTCATTGCCCCTGTGCACTGTGCTGTGGAAAGTGCTTCCTTGGGTCTAGCCCCTTTCTCCCACTGCACATGCTCTTGGAAGAAATGCAGAGCTGTTGGCAGCCCTCCCTAAAATCCCCAGGATACCCCATGCCTCCAGTCTCACCTTCTGAATTACTCAGGGGTTGGAAGACTCACCTCCAGCCATGATATAATCCCTGAAGAAGGGGGCCCGGAACCACAAGCTCAACATCATCAGACGGGGGCTGATACCGGGGAAGAGGGAGGTGAAGCCGGTACTCTCCGTGCACAGGTTAATAAAAGCTCCAGCGGCCAGGACCCCATGTGGGTGGAAGGCAGCAATGTAGTTCCGGGAGGGGTCCAGATCAGCAGTCTTGACCAACTGCAGGGACAGCAACCTGGTGAGCCAGAGCTAGTCCTATGTGCCAGTCCCAACTCTGCCACTCACCAGCTACGGGACCTTGGGAAAGTTGCTCCCCCTCTCTGAGATTTAGGTTCTTAATCCACACGTTTGACCACTCTGAGTTCTTGTAAAGACTGAGATATTGTGTATGAAAACATTTGCTGTGTCACTAACTGTTTCCCTTTCAGACTTCTCTGTAAAATGGGGATACTCAGCCCTGTCCTGCCCACTCACCAGGGCTGCTAGGAGGATCTGGTAAGGTTTCCAGCTTGGAAACCTTATGTAGGGTTGCTATCAATTGGAACCAACTTGATAGCACTTAACAAAACAACATATGATTTAAAGGCCTCCTAGTGTGGTTCTGAAGGATAAGCACTAGACTTCTAACCACGAAGTCAGTGGTTCAAACCCACCAGCCTCTCCTTGGAAACCCCATGTTGTTGTTGTTAAGTGCCGTCCAGGCAGTTTAGACTCATAGCAACCCTTTATAGGGTTTCTGAGGAACGGCTAGTGGATGTGAACTGTTGATGTTGCAATTCAACCTGACCTTGCAGTTGAGTGCTTATCCTATAGCACCACACCAGGACTCCTATACAGGGTGACTATGAGTTGAAACTGATTCAATAGCACTTAACAACAACAGCAATAACAAATGACCACATGGGGGCATGACCATGCTGAACAATTTTAACAAAATTAAATACAGGTAGAAAATGACTTAGGGAGGCAGGGCTTGATGGCAGCTAGGGTGGAGGTGCAGTGAAGTGCACCGTCAGTGATACCACAGAATACCAGGCAAAGCAGATCTAGGGCAGAGCTCCAAAACTCAGAACTACAGAGATAGGAGTATTTAAAAAGTTTGAAGGCTTATAGCTAGTGGAACTTGTACCAAAAGTAAGAAATTGTGTACTTTTGAATCTGCCAGGTGCAGCAGCCCAGAGCTGACAACTTGGGTGAAACCAAATGACAAGATCAAGTGGGGGAGCAGACATACCATGGAAAAATGCTGTGGGAACCTCGGAGCAAAGGTGGACAATACACTTTGTCGGTTTTGCTTTGTTCTGATTTTCTTTTTTTTTTGTTTTTTTTTCTTTGCCCCCGCCTCCCCCCACCACCACTGTTTGCGCACCTCCATTCTGGTGACTAGAGGGGGTGCCTGAACAAGTGGACACTCCCCACCCTCACCACTGGTGGGTTCTTCTGTCATGCATGCGCACAGCCCAAGAGCTGGTTTGTTTTGTTTTGTTTAATACGGGAAAGCCCGGGACAGGGGTGTAGAGAGGGAAAGAGAGCTTAAACAAAACAGGCTGAAGGTTAAATTAAAGCCTGAGGTACAGCATAACAGCCAACAGCGGCATCTTGAAATCTCTCAGGCAGCTTTCAAGGCAAGAAGCTGAAGAGAGGATATTAAAATCATACACATATTAGGCTACAGATTTTTTTTTTTTTCTCTCCCTCCTCTCCCTTTTCTGTGATTAAAGACTGCAGTATTCAGTTTAGTTTTGTCTTTTTGTTGTTGTTGTTGCTTTATGGGTTGTTATTTTTGTTGTTGTTGTTGTTTTTGCTGGTACTGTTTTGCTGTTGTATGCCCCCCCTTCTACCTTTGGGGAACTCTTTATCTCCCTATGTTACCCAAGAAGAGACAACAACTGCTGCCATATAGTCAAGCTACACCCACACTCTATGAAACACCAAAACCCAGGCAAGAACCAATACCAACAACCAGGGAGGCAGAGATCACCTGTGAAAGTTACTCTGAGTTAAGAAATAAGAAGATGAAAAGGGAAGCCTATATCCTGATCACATTTTCCTGGAAGCAACCAGAAAGCATAAAAAAATACGAAAACACATACTTAATTAAGTATTAAGGCCACAGATAAACACTAAACATGTCCAAGAAGCAAAAGCAGATGACCATATCAGCACATGTCCAGAAACAAGATAAAATGTC